AGTCCTCTTTAATAAGTTTCTTAATGTTTTCAAATCAGAAATTTCCATAATTCATTGATCTCAGATACAATACGCTGAAGTTTTATTTTTGAAATACTGAATTCAAGCAATAATTTGATTTCGTCCCAATTTTGATTTTAACTGTAGATCCGGAGAAACGTGCTCAACTTAGTTGGAGAAGTCGTATTCATATTATAAATGGGATTGCAAAGGGAACTCTTTATCTCCATGAGGATTCTAGACTTAGAATCATCCATCGGGACCTGAAAGCTAGCAATATCTTGTTGGACAATAACATGAATCCGAAGATTTCTGACTTCGGAATGGCAAGGATCATGGAAGCTAATGAAGGCGAAGGCAATACTGTTAGGATAGCGGGAACATAGTAAGTGAATTTTCACATTAATTATCTTTGTATATTAAGTATAATAACTTCATTAGTTACCCGATTTCCTAGACAAGAATAATATAACAAAGCATGATGGCTTGATCCATCATTTTCATTGTTTCATGTTTCAAACTTATCCGAGTCTGAAGTTTTTGGACCACCTCTTGTCTCCACTAGCTGCTGGATGCACAGCACATAGGGCTTGTTGGATATTTACTTTTTCCAGGATTACTAAAAATTTCCTGTCCCTTCTGTTGAATAGTGGATACATGGCACCAGAGTATGCAATGGAGGGACTTTACTCCACCAAATCTGATGTTTTTAGTTTTGGAGTTATTCTGTTGGAGATCATAACCGGAAGAAAGAATTCTGGATTCCACAAATCGAAACGTGCTCCTAGCCTCTTAGCTTATGTAAGTTTCTTCGGTATAGAATACACATAAACACTTACTTGACACTGTGATAGAAATGTTTAGTTAAGTACACTTCCGAATCCTGAATCAGGCATGGGAATTATGGAACAATGGAAAGGAACTCGAGATGATAGATCCAGTGTTGGCTGATTCATGCTGCTCTGATGAATTTTCCCGATGCGTGCATATCGGTTTATTATGCGTCCAAGAAGATGCTAGTGAAAGGCCAGCCATGTCGTCCGTTGTTTTAATGCTGAAAAGTGACAACTCAATTGATCTTCCTCATCCTCAACGGCCGGCCATTTTTGCCGGGAGATTTACAGACCACCACGAGGCAAAAGCTGATGATTGTTCTGTCAGTGGCCTAACAGTTTCTGATATTTTACCTCGTTGATGAAGCTGGTGAATGAATGAAGTGTGTGACCACGAAGCCCTCTTAGGTATGTCCGCGGCTATATAGGATATAATGGGCAAAATACGTTCATTGTTTCTCAGTTACAAAAATTGGTATGAAAGAGTAATAATGGAATGAAATCAATTATCTGTTCAAAAAAAATTGTTCAATATAATTATTTATTACAATATTTTGAATGTGGATACTGAATATTTGATTTGGTATTTACAATGATAATTGAAAATTTTCTTTGATAGTAATGTAAAAGGTATACATGGATGGAGGGACCATGGGTCACCAACACTGAAAGTATAGGGACTTGCACGACCAAAATTCCAGTAAAGTAATTTTCAAGACTTGAGAGATTACAAATGTATTATACCAAGTTAGATGGTAGGTTTTGTGTAAAACTAGTAAAATCTAAATTTTGCTTTCCTTAAAAAAAATTATCCTAAAATTTTAATACTTCAAGATTAATAATACTATAAGAGTTATGATAAAAAAAATATTTTTTACTTAAACATATATGAAAATAATATATTTTTTTAAAAAAATATTTTTAATATCAACTTATAAAAATAATCCAAAAATATATATAAAAATTAAAGCTAAAAATAATAATAATAATAATAATAATAATAAACACAGTTTTACCACAATGCAATCACCACATTAGTGTTCTCTAAACCACATTCAATTGATGGATGCAAAAAATTGGGAGAGGAAACTATTTATAGTATCTTGTTAACATTAAAAAAAAAAAAACTAAACTAAAAATGGTGCATTAATTCACCTCTCCCGTGTCCATGCAGATCGTAGGATGAGATCGTGCACATTTCAACTTTGTCACGTGAAGACAAAGCATGCATTACACAGTTGAAGACAAAGCTGCTGGTGCGCTTTCACGTCGGTGCTGAGTATCGGTAGAAGATGCTGAGCAAGGGCAGACAAATACTGTGTTGATAGCAAGTCAATTTTCATGTAATGGATTCTTTTGTATGAATTATTAAAAAAGAAAAAAGAAAAAAAGAGTACACATGACAAGAGAAGAAACTCTTTTTAGTCAATAATAATATAAATTCAATGTTAACTTTTATCTAATCTTTGTTTAAAATGATTAACAAATTGAACTCAAATTATTCATGCATCACATGTACATGTGAACTTCATTAATGTAATGAAATAGGAGGATTACACACGAACAAGTTGGATGACCCCACATTACATATACTTTTTTATCCTAGTATTAAATAATAAAGTGCATGCGTGATTTTAGTGGGCTCTTTTTCTTTAATTTCATTAGTTAATAAAACACATGTAAGGAACATGTGTAATTAATTAATAATATTTGGTTATCATCTTAAGGTAAAATAGATAGGGATGGTATGGATGAAAATGACATGTCTATCTTTTATTTCTTACTTTAAAAGTCTACATTCAAGCTTAGCTGGGGGCATAGCTTCCTTTTCTCTGATAATCCGAATATCCCTTTTGTTTCTTCTTTTGAAATTTAAGTTTATGGATTAAGCTTTGAAAAGTAGATGGCCAATACTGGATTGGGCAAGAAAGATGAGAAAGCCTTAGTGGCTATACCTAGAATGTCAGCCATTATCGTGGAAAACGCACACCAACCTTTTGTAGGACACGTACAACTATTTTTAAAGCTGTAGAATGATATGTTCGGCATTTCAGTTTCTCAGTCTGAATATTAAAGAACAAAATATTCAATTGTTTTGTTAACAATTCCCTTTTGGGTTACCTTATTGGAAAAAAAAAATTATGGGCAGTAGTCTGCTGTTATTAGTTATGCGCAGATAAAAAATTATGTATGAGTTATTATTTTTATTATACTGAATATTTATTTTATTAATCATACTTACTGATCCCACTTTTTGTGAATGTAAAAACAAGAAAAAGACAAGGAAAGGAAGCAAGAAAGGGGAAATTAAGCCTGCGTAACTAAAATGAAATTGCAAGAGAAGACCTTTAGCGGAGACATGACTTTGGAAGGGAGCGTATTTCATAATTTTGCACTTGATTATTTTTACTGTAATCTTTTTTTAATTGTGAAATTTTTCTAGAATCGGTATGTAAGTGGTTTTATATAATAAAATTTGATAAGGAAAATAATTAATGAATAAAAATTGATCGAGTTTTTGAACTTTCATGTAACTTTGCCATGCTGTTTTCTTTGAGAATGTTTTTAGTATGAATCAACTCTGTATTCTTTTTACTACAAGCCTGGTAAATTGTTTTCAAAATGTAATTAATTTTGAAAAAATTAAAAAAATTACAACTTGTAAAATTCCAAACTTAAACAAAAACAAGAAACTTAATCCCCAATCAATTTGATTTTTAAAAATTAAAATAAAAAAATAAAGACCAAACATGAAAAAAAAATGATGATGAAATCACAAGAAACACATAAAATTTATAAATCATCTTAAACAAAAATAAATAAATCAAAACAACTAGAACTAAATAAATATTGAGGTTAAAATCAAAAAAATGTTTTAATTTAAAGTGATTTTTTTAAATAAAATAAATAAGAAAGAGATCAAATCTGTTAATTTGAATTTTTTCATAGACAATATATAAATTAAGGCTGATGAGAGGGAAAAACAAAATTGAACTAACATCAAATTGAACATACACGTTACCTTAAAAAAAAAAATCAAAACGAATCAAATAATATCACAAAATAATATTTTCAAGCACCACACATTTTATTTGACCTGTTTGACACTGTATTTTTAAAGTATTTTTAAAAAAATTCGTTTTATTTTTTATTTTGAATTAATATATTTTTAATATTTTTAAATTATTTTAATGTGTTAATTTTAAAAATAATTTTTAAAAAATAATAAAAATATTATTAGTATATTTTTTTAAATAAAAAATATTTTAAAAAAACAGTCATAATCATACTGCAAAGTTTAGAGGGATATCTAACAAGCTGATGCAGCATTTTTTTTTTTTTAATTTTATGTATCTAAAGAAAACATCACCTCCGGACCTGCTTAAAAATCATTACGAAATGAAGAATTCACCCTGCAAAGTTCAAGATACTATAGATGCCTGTCGAACTTGATGTCGATGTTAAGAAGTAGATCTATTCCTTTCGATTGCGATAGTGAATTTAAAAGCATAGAGCTATTTTCGAAGCTAATATATTAGTGAATGAAGGGGATGTAAAGATTTTAGGAGCAATGAACCACGTTAGGAAATTTTGAGATCATGCACGAACCTCGTGGCTAGTAGACCATTAGGAAACATGGATGGTGAGAAGCATCAATCCTGGAATAAAGTACTAAATACTAAATAGTGGCTTCGCTTTGGTAAAAGCAATTTGTTAAAGTAAGGAAGACTGAGGAGTCATCAACGGGTAAAGTAGCAAATGCCTGCGAGCAGGAGAATCTTCATGGCTTTCCATCAACTATAGAGCCATCCATCACAGGACTTTCTTTTCTTGCAACTTAAATGTCAATTGTTTGATGACTTATTTTTTCAATCTTATCTCAAAGGGAGAGTTTGATTTTCTATAATAAACCAGAGGACGAGTTTTTCTCAAATCCGGAGAGTATATTTTATAATTTCAAGTACATGTCTTTATTCTAATCTTTTATTAATTGTAAAGGCTTCCTCGAATTTATTAACTTTAATTTATCCAGACAAGTGTTATTAGCAAATTAGTACTCTAGCATTATATTTTTATTTTTTCTTATTTTTTATTATTAGAGAATTCTATTTTTTATTTAAATAATTATAATAGCTTCTGACAAATGAAAAAAATTAATGAATAAAAGTTAAAATTTTGCGTTCTATTGTGGTTTTTTATTTGTAAATTTTAATTTGTCTTGGGGTTTATATGTTTTCTATATTTTACCTAAAAAAATTAATTTATTTCAATTAATTAGATCCAGTATCTTTTTCTTTTTCTTTCACTTTGTATAAATTTCAATTTCGTATCCGAAAATCTCAATATTACCAAAAGGTGGAATGAAAAAATTGAAAAAATCATCAAAGCAAGTAATTTTTTAATAAAAAATATGATAAAAAGTGTTTTTTTTTTCGCCAACATTATTGCTATCTCTTAGACACTCTTTCATTAGCATTATACACACACACATGAAAGAAAAAAAGAGGCACACACACAAAGAAAAAAAGAGACGTAATGGTGGAGATAGATCAGAACGGGGAACGTTTTGATGAAGAAAATTAAAAGAAAGTTAAATAAATTTGAAAATTGATTTCTATTTAACTATATATAGTATCAGCAAAGGAAAATACGAGATTACTAAGTGACAATTGAAGGTGGTAATATTTGAGAATTCTTTGAAAAACCAACCCTATCAAGTTCTATCATATTTGTTTTAATAAACAAATATATTTTTTACTGATTTTCATTTTCATCTTTGTAATTTTAATTATTTAATTTTATTTCCTTAATTACTTTTTTAATGAGATTGTGACAGAAATGGGGAGGGAGAAATTGGAACAAAGATGAAAGATGTAAGATCTAATTGAAACAAACCAAAGATTTTAGATGAAATTAAAATCTATCCTTTATTCTTTTGAGTTTTTTAATAAGACCAAATTCCGTATTCTTTTCTCGATACGCAGCATTAAGCCTTTTCATCAAGTGACTTTTCTCTATCCTTCGATGCACAAGCTGCATAAAATAGCAAGAGAAGACCGGCAACTCTTGAACCCAATCGAGGAAATTGCAACCATATGCGAATAGGCATTTGAGATTCCGAGTGGATAAGTCTGGACAGTACTCGTGGTATGGAGTGCGACTCTTGAATATATTTTCTCATCAGAGGACCAAAAAGCAAGTCAATATTGGTACAATGGTCCCCAATAGATAAGATTAATAAAGATGTTTGTGGTTGCGGGGTAACATATTTTTTATTAAAATTTTATTTTTAATTAATATTTTTAATGTTTTTAAATGGTTTTAATATATCAATTTAAAAAATTTAAAAAAATAATAAAAATTATTTTTATACATCATCTACTACACTCCAAATTAACACTTCTAGATTGTCCTACTACGAATTGAGAATAATTCAAAATCTAGATTAATTCAACCAGGGAATGGCTTGATAATTTTTTTTAAAAAAAATCATCAGAATAATCAAATATATGAA